TCGAAAAGTTTTCCCTTCTTAAGGTGCAACTCAGTGTTGCATGTGTGTATGTGTGTGTGTTTGTGGCAAGAGAAGTGGCAGCTTGTGGATTTTTGTTGCAATTCGTGAAGTGAAGTTTTTTCTTTGTCTGAAGCCGCTTTTTCGCGTAATTGGCTGTAATTGAAATTGGCCTGATAAAGGGGTCCGGAAGCGGTTGTAGAAGCGGGGTGTGTGTGTGTGTGTGTGTGTGGAATCGGGAAATCGATTGTTAATACATGATTTGGCTAAAGGAAATAATTTTAATTGTTGCTACAAATTTGGTTGCTCTTAAAACTCTATTTTTAATTTAAATTTCACCTTCGAAGAAAATAGGAGGCATGAAATCGTGCAAGTACGAGGGAATATCTCCTTGGACATATTCTGGCTTATATCAGACAGAACTTGAGAGGCTTGTCAGTATCTCTCCATCTCTCTCTTGCTTTTCTTGCAAGTTTTTCCCCCTTATATCCACCCGCACACACACAGACACACTCCTAGAGTTTGCTGCCATTCAACAAGGATTTTTTGTTTTGTTTGTGGTCGCTCCGACTTGTTTGCTCAAAATTCTGATATATTCACGTTTTGGCTTTTTGGCCACACGTTTTTTACTTCTCTCTTTTTTTGGTTCGTATGTGTTGGCAGTTTCTTTTTACTCGTGCATGCCCAGTACTGCGAGGGTATATGTATTATACTCGTGGTAGGCAAAAGACAACTAGAGCCACGGGAACATAGAAATGTTGCACTCTGCCGATCCAATATCAGATATCAGAATATTTGATTTTTAGTTGGATTTAGTTATCCTCTAGAAACCATGCAGAGAATTTCTTGTACTTGTTCTGATACATGTTCTCTAATTGATATTCTCCTGCTGCCCATCGGATGCTTTATCTACATAAAATGGCAGAAAAAAATCAGTTCCATTGTTGCCCTATCTGTTAAGCTTATTCTGACACCCCCAAGGACGTGTGTCTACAGGGTATCCACTACACGAGTATTTCTTACTTATATATTTTTTTTTTGTTTTTTTTTCTTTTGTGGCAATTTTCAGTCTGATGTGGGCGACCTTTTAGCGAACGTTTTCGCCATTTGCAGTTTTTCGCCTCTGGCAGCGGACAGGCCATCTCTCACTCTTCTCTCTCGCTCTCCCTCTCACTCCCTCCCTCTCTCACTCTATCTCTCTCTCACTGTATCTCTCTCTTGGTGTGTGTCTCTTTTTGTTTATTTTTTTTTTTGGTTAGGGTTACTCCTGTTTCCGTGTGTGTGTGTCCTGCCTGCGATCTCTGTTTGTGTTTTCCGAGTACTTGGTTATGGTAATCGAATTTCAAATTATTGCCACGAGCTATATGCACTGTCTGCTCTATCAGAGGATGCGCTGGAAAGGGTCGGGCGGAAGCGGGTGGGGGAATGTGTCGCTTTTTCTACAATTTTTCCTTTTTGCTGTGCCAAAAAGTTTTCTTCTACACCCAACCCAACACTGGCTGATGTTTTTTCCCCACTGAAAGATGAATTTGTTTTGTTTTTTTTTTGTGGCTGTTGTTGTTTGATTAGTTGTTGCTATTGTTCTTCCGCCACCACCGCCACCGCCACCGCCACCCACCATCTATGAGGAGGGTGTTTGTGTATTTTGAGGTTTTTTTCACCATTTCCTTTTCCTCCTGCTCCTCGCTGACTTTGTTTTTTGTTTTTGTTGTGTTTGGTTGTCCTTGTTGCCGTTTACATCCTGTTTTCGGCGAGTTTTGAATATTTTTTGCGGTGCATGTTTTGTCATGCAATAATTTAATTGTCGGATTTGGCAGCTTAAGAGAGCAGCAGAAGCAGAAGCAGCTTCCCCACAGATTGTGTGATGGTAGTGGCGGGGGATGGGTGGCAGGTGTTGTTGCCTGACCGTTTTGTTTGTTTGTTTTCCTGGCCGTCCGTCTGTCTGTCTGTCTGCCTGTGTGTTTGTTTGTTTGTTTGCTTGTTTGTTTGCCTATCCGGCGGACACTTTGCGATTTATTTATGTTTGGATTTGGCTTGCTGATGCCGCCTCTGCCTCTGAATCTTGTGACAAATTGCTGAAATTAGTTGACCAACAGGTTCATTCGGGCCTAAAATATACCTACAGTATTCTTTTCAAATTGAGTGATGCGCAGGGATATTCAGCTGCATGCTGTAATCCCATTGAAATGTGTCGAAAAATGCTGTAAATTTTAGTTCGAAATTAAATGTGGGTAATGCAAAAAATATTAATGTTAATATAAATGCACAACCATTAATAAGCACTTTAATTAGCGTTTAACTATTACCCTATTTATTATGCGCAAATCTTATACAAATATTATTTGGAGCATCAAATTTTTGCTTGATTGGTAAAAATTCCTTGACTGAAATCATTTTAGGTCAAAATATGTCTGAAAAAAAATGTATTGGATTGATTCAGAATCCCAGTCGTAAGCTTATCCATCTACGGACCTTATAGCACAATTCGTCTGTACATAACTTGGCCAAAACTTAATAGATTTAATTTTAGTGTTTCCAAGCCGTTTTCAAAAAGTTAAATAGTTTCGAATTCCATTATTTATACACTTTTGAATGAACTTTTAATTAAAGCAATAGATACTCTTCGAATGGAAACGTTACACAATCGATTTACTTTCTCTAGCCGCTGCTTTCTCCCCCCACCCTGACTACCACATCAAGATTGTTACCTAGCGCAGCTCAATTTCCGTGGCATTATAATTAATAATCAACAGAAGCTTAAAGATTTTAATTAAAATCAACAGCAGACTCCGTTTGGGTTACCAAGCTGCCGCTGTTGCTGCTCCTGCTGCTGGTGTGTCTTTCCGTTGCACTCATTGGCTTTGTTCTGCTCTTTATCTTTGCTTTACGTTGACAACTCTGGATAGCCATGGCAACCCTGCTCGGCCCTTGGCACTCCACTACACTGCCACCGATCAACTAGCGTTGATTTCTTTTAATTTAGCCGCAATGACCTGCATCGAAATGCTTTTGTGTCGCACTCGCTACATGTCCTGCATCCTGCCGCCTGCCTGCTGCAGCTGCTGCTACTGCTCCTTACTGCTTCCAGCTTCGGCTCCAATTTAAGTTGCAATCCGTTTGGCTGGCAACTTGGCCAAGTTTCAGTTTCAGTTGCAATTACTTGGCGCACCTGAAGTGGACGACAACAACAACGAAAACGACAGCGATAACGGTCGGCAATGGCGATGGCCATGCTGGGTCAAAGGTTAGTTTGTTTGTTTGTTTGTTTGTTTTCGTTGTTGTGGCGACTCCCATCCGATTGCACACCCCCCCCCTCCCCATCCTACAGTTCTCATTTTTATTTTTGTTTTTATTTTTATTTTTGCAAGGAGGATTCTTTTCCATTTTCCCTCATTGCCTTTCCCTCTACCGGATTTTTTGTGTTGACTCTGCGCTTTCTATTTACGCTCTGCTCTGCTCTGCTCTTCGCGTTGTCTGTTGTTTGTTGAGTTTCAACTGCAATTATGTGAATTTCCACCGTGCACAGCATAAAACATTTCTCCCCCTCTCCAACCCACCGTTTGCCGTTCCCCTACCAAGTTTCAGCTGATGCCACACCCCTCTTACGGGACAGCCAGTAGCATACTGCTGCAAGCTCAAAGTCAAACAGCGCCAGGGCAGAGTAAACAACTTCAAAGTCAATAAGAGTGTAGGGTGGGGTGGGGTGGGGTGGGTTGGGGTCAGAGAGGGCGGGGTAGATAGATACAACTAAGATACCACTTAAATCTAGAAAAAGGAGTGTCTTCCGGATTCTATCATTTCAAGAAAATGGCAAAACTAACGCCTTTGGGGCCCCCAAAAAGTGTTGGCTGGCTTGAGACTCAAGGCGGGATTTTTTGTGTCCTTGAATATTATCAAAAATTATGTCATCTCTACTTTCGTATAGAGAGACATTGCAATCGTGTTATTCTTACAGCTATAATGATATAATGATAAAGCAACGCGCTTTTGAGTGCATTCCTTTAGGAACCACACTCACCGAAAAATGGTCTGGTATTAAAAAAAGCCCGCTCATAGTTAAATTAAATATTCGAGTTTCAATACTAAATAGAATTAACTTTAATTTAAAAATTACATCTATTTTAATACATTTTTAATACGGCTCATATTTAATCTAAATTAAAAATTCTTTAAAATAAAGGTATGTATATAATTGACTACATTTGTGGTAAATAAATTTAATCGAAATATGAAATATATTTAATTTATATATGAAATATGTTTAATTAAAATATGAAAGTATTTAATTTACAAACAAAATATACAAATTGAAATCAAATATTTTCAAACTAAAAATCAAAATAAAGTAATTAAAACGAGAAGGAACGTACGAGTCGCTTCTGGGGACGCGACTCTACTTATACCTGTACTCAGTCACATTTTTGAGCATACAGTATACATTTTTGAGCATATGATTTTTTAGAATTTTAGAAATAAAAAAAAATTTGACATTTTACATTTTTGCTACATCTGTTATCTACATCTACAATGTATATTCTACATCTAACATGTAGATTGTACATGTACCATTTAGATTCTACATCTCCTCCGCTAGGGGTTGCTCGCGCACTGAACGAGGCAGAGTGTGCGAGCGAGAAAGAGAATCAGGAGCGTGTTTCATGCAGGCTGAGACGGGGGAAGCAACTGAAAAATAATTTCTTCATTCTGGCTATAATTATGATCCGATCTGTTTCAAATTCGGCAATCTGGTAGGTATGGTCATTCTCTACGATACTGCGCTTTCAGTCGGAAACGTTTCCTTCTCTGCGTTACACACATCCACTTTTACCACAAATCTAATATGCCCCTTAATTCTTTTTTGAGTACGGGTATAAAAACAATAATTTGTAGATCGACTTGGCTTTGAGATATTTGTATACTTTCCAGGGTTACTTTCAATGTTGGAAAAATCATTTTAGTGTAGCTTTTTCTCCCAAAAGCATCGTAGAAAATTCGCAGTATTCATCTATTTTTTTACTTTTACTTTTACTTTTAATTGAAGAAAACTTGGCACAAAATTTATGCATTTTTTGGCACTTTAAAAACGAAAATCATGAACAAATCCGACTCGAAGAAACTTGTGAGTAGATGGCAACAATTGCTGCCAATCGATGGAGTACTGACAGCCTAGAGTTGTCCTGCAGGTGGCTTCCTCAACAGACAAGAAGCAGCATGCACCCGTCTGCCCAAAGCGGAAGTCCGTAAGAAGGATCCATGGCCAGAAGCCAGCGCAATTCCTCAATCCTTCCACCATTCGACGCATTTGTCGCCTGCCGCCAGAAAAAATGCAGCCCAATACGAATGCGAAGGTTCGGTACCGCAATCCTGAGTTCAGGAGAGTCGATGATCCTGGCGCTGTGTCCGCTTGCAATGTTTGCGAAGAGGTGGTCCATACCCCGCGACGGTACAGTGACAAAGTTGAGCAGGCAACCCAAACGGAGCCAAGTTGCAGTGGCAGCTTATTTGGCGATCAATCCAGCCAGATGTCCAAACAGTCCAATCGGATGTCAGGCGAGTCTAGCCAGGAGCTCCACTCAGACGCCGTCGCAAACTCCAGCCAGGCGGCAGCCTGAGATGGGTCACCAAACGTTCCAGGATCACAAAGCCGCATCGTCGCTACTAAAATGCACCTTCTGTGGAATAGAAAGCGTGTTCCAAGGTGCTTTCGATGGTTCATCCTTTGAGTGGGCGTTGGGGAGGAGGAGGCAGCTCTAGTTGTGTGATTTTTTTTCCCGCTCTTCCATTCCACTTGGTGTCACGTAGACTTTTCGTTAGCTTTGAGTTTTCAGTTACAGGGCAGCGGAGGAGGGAGGTGGCGGCAATCACCAAATAAAAAGCCATCGGACAGTTGCTGAGCTCAGTTTCAATTTTCACTTAAAACAAAGTTGGGGCAAGGATGTGGATGCGGACATGCGGACATGGGAAGTTGCTGCTGCTGTTGCTGCTGCTGCTGCTGGGTTTTTGTAATCAGAGCAAAAGTATAGACGGGGCAGACACATGACGGGAACTGCTTCGCTGTTGTCTGTCCTCTGCCCTTGGCTTACGTGATTTCAGACATCCAAATCACGGATCGGGTTAAGAGCCCCATCGTTATCCACAAATCCAATGGAAAAAAGTAAGCCAGAAGGCAGCCTGGCTGCGATTGAGGACGCATTTGATACCCTTGCTACGCTGTTGATCAAAAATAAATAATAGAGAATTCCTTTTCCAATGTGGAAAATCTTTCTGCAGGCGGGTGCATCCTTCAATGGGCTTTAAAGGGTACACAGAAAACGGAGTAAATCAAATGGAAAACAAAAGAAAGCTTGCCAAAATCAGCAAAAGGAAATAAACAGAGGCGCGGAGTGAACGGAAAAAGTTTTCTGTGTGTGTGTTTGTGTGGCTCACGTGACATTTGTTTTTGGCAAGTGTCCTGCTCTCCTCGTTGGGGACCAAATCAGCGAAGCGAACGTACCTGCAACGAAGACAATTGGGGAAGAGAGAATTAGTTGGATGCGACCATAGATTTTATATTTAAAGCGCTTAAAGTACAGAAATCCCTGAAATCGATTATTTGCCCTTTTGGTTCCACTTATGCGAGCGGAAAGAAAATCGTTTATGGCTCACAGACACATCGCTGACTGTCCCACAGTTCATTGGAAGCCATGCTGTTGCATCTAACCATCTTGCTGTTTTTCTTTGGGATGATTTCCCACGCCAGGACGAAGCCAGCGAGCTGTCCGCTTGGCTACAAATTCAACATATTCTCGCAATGCGATCGCGTCCCCTACAAGGCGGGCAAGTGAAGAAAGCAGCCCCACTCCAGCACCCACAATAAATTGATTTTATATTTAAAGTGCTTAAAGAACTAAAACAGAAACCCTGAAATCAATTCTTTGCCCTTTTGGCTCCGCTGGTTATGCGAAAACCTTTCACAGATCCCAGTGACCGCAGTTCATTTGAAACCAGGCTGATGAATCTACCCATCTGGCTGTGTCTCTTCGGGATGATGTCCCATCTGGTGGTGGGGTACGAATCCGAGCATCTGGAATGTGGCAAGAATATGGTCTTCCACGAAGCAGCAGCGAGGTGCGTGTCGAAGAAGCGGCTGAAGCAAGCGAGCTGCCCCTATGGCTTCAAGCCCAACAGATTCTCCCTATGCGAACGCATAACCTACCAGGCGGGAAAGTGAAGAAAGATCTCCCAAGATCCCCCGCTATAGATTGATTGATTGAATGTATAGTTAAAGAGCTTAAAGGAACAACTACCTGAGAAGAACCCCTGAAATTGATTTCTAACCCTTTTGGTTCCGCTTATGCAAGTGGAAAGCAAAAACATTTTATGAGTCAGAGAAACATCTCCGACACAGTTCCACAGTTCATTTGGAAGCCATGCTGATGAATCTAACGATCCTGCTGTGTCTCTTCGGAATAATTTCCCAAGCCAGGACGAAGCAAAAGAGCTGTCCGACTGGCTACAAATTAAACAGATCCTCCCAATGCGCACGCATCCCCTACAGGACGGGCAAGTGAGGGCTCAGCCCAGATCCATGGACACCAGACACCAAATGGATTCTAGAAAATAAAATACGAAGTCTGTGGATGGAACCTGCTTTTATTTCTTTGGTGGGTTGCCCCCAATCAAGGACGTTTCACATCCTTGCCATAGCCCAAATTATAGCCAAACCATTCGCCGGTGTACGCTGTGGTGGCCTTGGTGGGCTGCTTCTTTCGTGGCGGCTTCTTCGCCACCGGCGGATTGATGAGGCTGTGCCACCACTTTCGGAAGACGTCCCACTGATGCTTGCCGTGGTACTTGACGCGCATGCACTGCTTGTACCGTGCGTTCATCTTGTAGCCCCAGGGGCAGGACCTAAAGCTGCGTGGCCCCAGCACCGGCTGGCACTCACCCATCTCCTCACTCCACGCAAATCCCTCCTCGCAGGGTATCCACTCCGATGTGTCCACAAACGAGTAAGACACGTCCGTGGAGGACTCCACCAGCGAGTAGCTAACGTCCGACGACAGCTCCATTCAAATGCAACTGATTTCGATTTGCATCGATTTCGATTTGCGGTTGGCAATGAAAACCATTTTGCTACACTTCCCGAACATCCCATGTCCCATGGGGCTTTTATCTACACTTCTTTTTCAGACACTTCAGCTTCAGCTACAGATTCAGCTTCGGTTAAGCCACTCAGCCATGCTCTAATCTACATAAATAATTGCGATGCGGCACGACCTTCGTCTCGTCTATGAATTCCAACTCCACAGCGGAAACTCTTCGACGATATGCAAAGTTTTGCTCTTCGGCGTCACCTTCGCTGGCGGCGGTCGGATGGTCGTCGGTTTTGGCGAACTGCCGGGCAACCCCTTTTTGGCGGTGATCTTTTGGCTGGGCACAACCTTCACCTTCTGTGGTTTCGGATTTTTTTGTTTTCTGTCAACGGCATCGGACTTTAGTGGCTTGCGCGTCGGCACCACCTTGGACTTGGACGGGGCCTTTTTGGTGCGTTTCGGCTTGGACCAGCTCCAGGGGTGCCAATCGTCTTCCACCACTGGGTGTCCTTGAACTTGATCCGCCTTTCGCTTGGTTTTCTGCTTGCCTCCGGTTCGTCTTTCTCCTCCTCCTCCTCCATCCGGTGGTTCTCCGGTGGTTTCTACCCCATCCGGTGGTCCTTCACCCGGTGTTTCTACCCCATTCGGTGGTTCTCCTCCTCCTCCTCCTCCTCCTCCTTTTGTTGTTGTTTTTTCTGGCGGTGGTGTTGGTGAGATGGCCGTTGTCGGCGGTGGGGTGGTTGTTGTCCCGTTCGTTGTTGTCCCTCCTTCGCCTGGCTCCTCTGTGGCTTCCTCGCTTGAGTCCCCTACTGGGTCAGGGTCAGGGTCATTTTCCGCCACAGGTATACCTTGGTAAGGGGGTTGATACACCATAGCTTCAGGGGAGTCGTACCATGGCATATCGCCGCCTGGATACCGCGGGGTGGTCGTGCGCTTCGTCACGATTTTATCGGGCAAGAACCATCCAAAGTCCTTGCGAACGGTGTCCGGCTGCTGTCTCGGCCTGTAAGCCATGCGCACGCACTGGTCCTTCTGGTGCGGATTGAGCCAGTGAAAGCCCCAGGGACATTCGTGCCGCCGCGCAGGCCCCACCAACTCTGGCCCCAAGATGCCCATAAGGCATCCAATAAGCGCTATAAATGGCAAGTCCAATGTCCCGCTCATGTCGCTGCGGCCACATCACAGACACTGCAACTCACCGCAAATCCGATGCACGATCCGGTTGCGGTGGATGGATCGGCGCTCGCTTTAAGTGTAACTAATTAACTAATTTAAGCCGTTTAACTAAGCCGCAGACACAGTTGCAGTTGCAGTTGCAGTTGCTACTCTGCACAGATCGCAGATCACAGAAGTTGCTGGTAAAAACTTGGACCATTTCCAGCACAAAATTAGTTGAAATGCCATTTGCCGGGCCACTTCCAAGAAGAGTGGGCTGCAATATTCAATGCCAAAGTCAGCGGCAAGTTTCAAAACTTGCCACCGAAACGACAGAGGCGGGATAAAGGGCACACGGGCACACCAACAGCCGTGTGGCGTCTGGACACCTGAAGTAAAGGCGAGAGGACAGAGTGCCAGAGAGTGAGAAGACAGCTTTCATCTCGTTGCACCTCTCGTTTTGTTTGCTTGTGCTGTGAATCTTTCTCTGTGCTGTGCCGTGCCGTGCCCCGTGCCTTTTGCCTTTTGTCATTTGTTTGTTTGTTTGTCTGTCCTGTTGTGTGCCCACTGCTGTCGGGGGGTGGGGGCGGGCACAGTCTGAAGAACTATCTGTCACACGGTAACTGAGTGCACTAAAAGTGTCGCCTTGCAGCAACTGACTTGGAAAGATAATCAGGCAGTGCAAAGAGTGCAGCGGGGGCGTTGCGGAGCGATGCTGGTGCAACTTTTGATAATGGTTTATCTGGCTGCGCGGGGGGGGGTGGCTACATTTATTTTCTTCTGGTTTTTTTCTTACCTTTTCGGCTTCAAGTTGGCACTTTCTTTTCAGCATCATCATCTCCATGAACTTCAACGCCATTCACCATTCACCAGCTTCATCTCCATTTGCATTTATCTCCTCCACTTGTGCACAGATTTGATCAAGGTTAAGGCAGTACCCCTGAAGCTTTAGCCGACATATATACTGTTCCGCTTTTCATATCATTTTTGTGCTCGATAAGCAAGCATTAGAGTAGAGGCTGCCCGCTATCCAATACGCCTGGTGTACGCCTGCTCAAAGGGTTTCAAAAGGCAGCGGACTGTACTCTCTCTCTGCCCTGCTCTGCCCTGGCTTAGCATTTAATTATTTGAAATATTCGCAAGCTGGCAGCTCGCCTTACCAATAGAGGTAGGGAGGGAGGGCTGCTGGGCGATGCGCAGCCAATTGACATTTTCCGTCAACCGAGATGGTGTCCGAGGGCGTGGGGTGGGTCTATTTGGTAGTGAAAGTTGTGGCGCAGCAGCGACAGTGGAATGCAACGATTGTGTAAGCGATGGCATATCAGAGGACTGACTAATAGCTGTCACATGGCATGGGAAATCCATTAAAATCCATGCAAATAATAATCCGAGTGAATGCAACAATTGTTTTTGCCAATAAACCATTTATGGATGCTCTTTATAGGGGGCTGGTGAGGGGTTTACAATTTTAAATCCATTGCCAACGAATCCCTCTCTCTCTCTCTCTGTATCTGTGTCTCTGTCTTAACGCTTCTGACGATGCTTTGGCTCCTTCTTCAGCCAGAAGGGCATGGACCTATAGCCCCCATGCACCTTGGTCGCTCCACCGCTTGGGATCCGTTTCTTTCGGGGCCGTTTCGTAGCATTTTTTTTGACGCGTTTTTTCTTGGCCTTTGCTCCGGCAGCTCCCATCTCGTCACTTTCGTCGTCACTCTCCTCTTCACTCTCCTCCAAGGGAGGAGCTTTCACCAGCCTACCCTTGCCCTGCCATCTGTTCACAGGAGCATCGCTCATTTTAGAGCCTCCTCCAGTCCCCTCTTTGGGCGCTGCGATTTTTCCTTCTCGGGCATTTGTCGGTTCATCGCCTGGCGGCTGATCTCCGCCTGCTCGGCCGTTTCTATCCGCCGATCCGATTTTTCTCTGCATAGCTCTCAGAGGTGCTCCTTCTCGTGCTCTTCCCATTCCGGGTCCTCTGCGCTCGGGTGCTGCTCCTCCACCGGGTGGTCGGTCTTCTTCACTGGATTGTTCGTCGTCACCGGGTTCATCTGCTCCACCGGGTTCATCTGGTCCTCCCCCTTTCCCTCCTTCTCCTCGTCCATCTTCTTGATCTCCTTCTCCTCCTCCTTCTCCTTCAACCCCACCATGTTCTTCTTGCCTCGGCGGTCTTGTACGTGGCGGCCTTGTTGGCGGCAATTCACCCGATTCGCCCCACGGCATCCAGGCGGTGGGTGGCCGCTTGGTCGAACTGGGCAAAAACCAACCAAAAACCTTTCGCAAATAGTCCGGCTGCTGGACCCCATGGTACTTCCGGCGCGAGCACTTGTTCTTATACCTGTCGGTCCAGCTATAGCCGTAGGGACACTTGACGGCCCTTCTGGCACGCCAGAGCGGCGATCCCAGCACCTCGGGCAGCACCTGCTCCGGCCAGAAGATCCCACCAGACATCCCGAATATCTCCACAGAGGCTGTCGGTGCGCTCGTCACTGGATAGGCCATGCCGCTGCCGCTTACTGTTGGGCACTGTCGCTGGATTTCGCCGGGACTGTAGCCTGCCGCCCCACCCATCGGCTGGATCGAATCTTAAATTTGAAGGGTGACTAATCCATTAGGTCTCAGATCAGGGGGATCAGCTATCGAGTTTCTAAAAAGTTTCAACCCCCTC